AGTCAGATTATTCACAGCCGGTTCCGGCCAATTCTTCTCCGTTCTTTCTGGAATTAGTAAAGTTGGACTGGCTGGTTTACCAACACAAAGTTCTGGAGAGGATAAACCCGTACTACATTCGGACGGTATGCGGGTACTATTAATGACTGTTTGATGATACAGTTCATCATATGCATCGGGTTTCGGGTAGGCCTGGACCCCAGACCCTGTGGGTGTAGCGTTTTTCAAATTCTCACTGACATCCGGTGGGGTTGGAACACGATTAAATACATCAACCGTTACAGAATCCGCTGCGTGGGAGGTGTATGATTTATTTTCTGAATGCTTTGAGTATTCTTTCTGAAAATCACCATCCGTTGTTTCTGGCCCCTGCAAACCCCTCCACAGCGTGGTTTGATTTGGTTCATTAGTTTCTTCGCTTGGCGCTTTTGGAAATTCTTTTTCATTCGTGCTGTTCTGTTCTTGCTTTGATGCTTCAGGTGATTTCCTCATTAAATTTCGAACACTGACCAAATGGCTTGATCTAACTGCAATGTCCAACTCTTTCGATTGATCGGTGATTTGCTGTTCGGCTATTTGTTGTCCGATCTGGTTGATCGTGGGTTGTATTTGTGTTGATGCGCTGATCGAGAATATCTCACTCACTGCTGCCTGTCCATGCTGCGGGCTATCCAAACTCTTCAAACAATCAATGTTCAGTTCCGGTCGTTGATCATTTGTGGCAATAACTGATTCGGCTGAATGACTCGATATCTGATCCGAGTGCGACATATGACTTGAAAGAAACGAGGTGTCAACGCTGTTTGGCTCATCGACGGCAGTGCTTTGCAACGGGGGCACACGCAGGCCATTTTCCACAGATAAATGTGTTTTATTAGGCTTATCTAAGTTGCCTGTTTCTGGTTTCATCTGGTTCGGAAAGTTCGTTGGTGAAATACGTTCATTTGAATTAACGGCCGTCAATTCCGAGAGGTCAGAGGATTGAATTATCGGCAAGTTCGGACTTGGCAACTGAGTTATCCCCGATTTTTCGCTAATTGAACTACGTGCCTCAGGTTGAGAGAATGAGTTGATTGTGTTCTGTTTTTCGTCAGTCAGTATGGGTGGTTTTAACCGACTGGTAGCGTTTCGTGACTCTTCAGATATATACGTGGTATCACTCTGTCTGCTTAGCACTAGCTGATTGTGATCCGTTGACTCGTTTGCATTGTATTGAGGTTTTTTAGTTGTTATCTGTGCTTGTTTTATCACTATATTAGTTTCGTCTGTTTCTTCCTTGATATATTTAATGCTATTTATCAAGCTAATACCTGGATCAGAATGGTTGGAATCCCTCGATGAGACTAGATTTAACGATAACGAATTCCTTTTAAGTCCCACAGTTGAATTTCGTGTTCTCACCATCTGTTGTGATTCTGTCTCGTAATTAGGACTGATTGGAATATGTTGTCCGTCGGTGGTTTGATGTTCCAGGATGACTTCATAAGCCATCTGTGGATCTGGATGAGAAGTCCATACATCGGGACCGGAGAAGATAGAAAACCCTTCGCCAATTTCAGACTCTGTAGTTGGGTGCATCGGGGAGTTTGGTGCACCAGGGACATCATATGGAACTAACCGACGAAGACTAAATCGCAGTTGACTGGGTGATCTAACATGTATAGAACTCAAACGATCTGGTTGATTCGTGGTACCTGGGTAGTTTGGATTACTTCCAACCTCGACAAATACCTCTTGGATGTATGCATGCGGTGGTATGCTTTGAGCCGTTGATATTCTTGGCGTTGCTGCAGATATTGACTGTTTGTTAATTGTCGTCTGTGAGATCGGAATTGTGTTCTTACTATTCATTGAGTGCTGGTCCAAGTCTTTACGTTCATGCATTGAAGAAGTTGAATTTCTACCGGTCCTTTCAGAAACTGGCAAAGTTATGGATAATGGTGTTGCACTGCGCCGCCCAACAACTCCATGAAAAGTCCCGCTGGCAACATTCAGCGAGTGTCCTCGAGTCTGATCCTGTTGACTTCCGACGGGGTCGGCTACCGAGCGGGGTTGTCGGATTAAGGAGGCACGAACAATCACATCTACGTTAGCCAAATCGGGCCGTTGTGCTAGTTCCGGTCCATTCATCCCAAATTCCGGTCTTCCATTTTCGGGTAACAGTTGCACCGCGACTTCTGTTCGATCGTCATAGGCTTGTATATCCAGGTGCACAGGACTTATGTCGTTTGAACGTCCAGGTGATCGATAAGAATAATTGTGAGCACTCGGTTGCTCTGTATGCTCTGCAAGATTCCCGGAGTTATCTTGTCCTCTTCGAGCACCATGTGAGTGCCAGCTCCATCGGCGGACATTTGGAGAGAGATGACTAGAGTGGGAAAGACTTGGGGATAGTTTTGAGGATTCTTGACTTTCTGGTTCATTGTAGTCGTTATGTGACTCGGTCACACCACTTTTTCGAGACCTCTGCTGGAGTTTATCATCTTTTTTTTCACATGGCTCGTGGGATTCGCGTGGGATTTGTCTAAAATTACAATGAGAATGTAACTGATTACCGTCAAGTGTTATTTTGATAGGGTTGAAATCAATCAACTTCAACTCTTTAAAATAGGATAAGTCTCCACAAACCTTATCACCCGCTTCTTTGTTTTGACCATCGCACACATTTGCTTGGGAAGTAAACACCTTGTGATCTCGCCTTTGATTGTGTAAACGCCCCAACCAAGACCGCATTGGACATTCCATATCCGGTTCACTACTATCGTCCCCATTCGTCGACTTCTTCGGGATAGATTGTAAAACTGCATTAGTTGTTTGTCGATACGGTTTATGATCAAAGCACCAATTCAGTTGGAACTTCAACTCACTGGTTCCAGACCCACTTCTTTCTCTGGGATCTAATGAGATATTTCCGGAAACCTTTGTATTCTCCTTAGTTGCAATACACAGAGGCGTAGATAGGACTGGATTTTGGACCAATTTGAAGTTCACATGCTTACCTTGAGTCTCGCATTCGGAGTAAACTGCGAGGATACGACTGGGGGCGGTGTGACACGAATGAGCTTGATCGGGAACTGGATCAAAACCGTATTCAATTGATGATAAGTTTTCGAAAATACATTCTAAATTGGCGTTAAACGCGTTTGAGTAATCTTCTTTCGAATTTATATTTAATCGAGCATCCAGGGTAGACAGATTGTTGTTTTTTAACGGCAAAATGCGTTTTGTCGTATTACTTTTAGATAGCAAATATGTATTAGGTCGAGTAGGAATCGTCGTATGCAGTCGT